TATGTGTACAATCTGAAATAATGAAAATTCAAAAAGAATTTAAAATGTATCAAGAACTGCCTAACTTCCAAGCCACATCGCTGCAGGAACCATCACCTACTTTTATGCTTTTGCCAGAGAGCAGGACAGACTAAGTATGAATTACACAGGACGCTGCAAGCGTCCTGTTTGAAGCAGTTTTCTGAGGAGTGCTACCAGTGGTGAGAACAGGTCTTCCATGTAGATTATGGGGTTCAGAAACTGGGCATCCATGTTTCTGGCCCAGTCAGAGGGCAAACTCATCCACCCTTGTCCAGATCCTCAGAGAGCAGTGACCTCATCAAAGCCAGACCACAGAATCAGGCACTTGCACCCAGGGAGCTAGAAGGCTGGGGCTGCCCTCAGCACAGAGGTATTGCTCCCCTGGGGCAGAAGGCACTGCCCTCCCTGCTCTCTCAGGGACACTGAGTCCTCAGTTTGACTCCCCGCCCACACAGGACACGCAGCCCCAGAGCGTGAGGAGAGTCTCTCTGTCTAAGGCCCTGTCATCGTCCTCAGCAGGGAACCGGTGATGCTGCCCACTGCTGTCCGGTTCTGTCTACCTCTGTCAACGCAGCTGAAAGCCAGGAGGCCACGTGGACGGACAGTCCCAGCGCCTCCCTCCTTGGGCCACCTGAGTGCAGGTGGGTGAGATGTTCTAGATACAGTGAGCTCTCCCTGGGGTATCAGAGCCTGCTCGTCAGATTCTGGGCAGACTGCCTTGTTGATTTTTAAAGAATTTCCAACTTCGACTTATGAAATTCCTGTGCCCTGAAACTAAACTCCACATCAGCAATGCTCCATTACATTACTTGATATTGGCAAAGTCCAATTTCTTAAGCCATTCACACTATGGCTCACATGGAATTCGGGTTGCCAGATCCCCACTGCACCTCTCCGCGGGTGTCTGGATAGACCACGTAAGTCACACCTCTGAATCAACATGGAAAATCTTAATTTTTCTTCTTTTATATATATATTTTTCCCTTAATGATTTGTTTTTATGTTTGTTGATTGATTTCTTTATTTTAATGGAGGTGCTGGGGATTGAACCCAGGACGAAGTAAGGTAACTGGGTTACAAGAGCACGTGTCACAGCACAAATGGATGTGCCGTTTCCTCTCATGGAAGACAAAATAACTGTCAACACACAAAAGCTGGTACGTACCAGAGCTTCCCAGAATCACTGCAGGGCTCGGTTCACTTGAGACCATGCACCAGTCCTGAGAAACAAGAAGGCATCAGCCCTCGAAGTCTAAGGAAGGACAGACAGTCCAGGGTTGAGAGACACAGACAGGGGCAGCCAGCAGCACCAGATCCAAGCTCCAACCTCAAGAGGCTAAAAACACAGAATGCTCCAGGAGCCTCTTTTGTCCTTCGGTTCAAAAACAACAACAGCAGAACCTTTTGGGGGAGAGGTCTCACTGGGCTCTCAAGGTCCCCAAGGATGGGGGAAGGAAAGCCTTCCACGACCACCACCCTCCAAACAGCTCCAGGTAGAGTCTGACCCACAGTTTTGGCTTCCTGCTTGTGATTAACCAAACTGCTGGCCTTGAGCCTGAATTCCTAATTTGTACTTGGAGCCAAGGACTAAGCTAAGCCTAGATGGAAAGTCCAGTCAGAGAGGGAAGGGCATAGCTCAGTGGTGGAGTAACTGCCCAGCACGCACGAGGTCCTGGGTTCAACCCCCAGTCCCTCCATCAAAATAAATAAACACACACAATCACCCACCCCCCCAAAAAACAAAAAACAAACAAAAAAAGTTTGGGTTACTGCCGATTAGCCTTTTAGGAAATGACCACAGAACCACAGAGCAAAGTGGCCAGGGCACTGGAAACACCCTTCCAGGCTAGAGGCACTGTTCTTTCCAGTCAGGAGCCACACCACGCCCCTGACTCCACCTCTGAAACTTCCAGAGTTTTTGTCTCCTTTTAGACCCTCTTGAGCCAGGGAAGGAGAGAGATATTTAGCAACCATCTGTTCATGGCAAGATCCAAAGTACGCGTCCAAGGGCTCTCTCCCATGTCCCAGTCCCAGTCCCATACACCACATGTGCCATCTTCCAAAACAAAATACAGAACCATCCACTAACCCGCACCGAAAGCCACACACCAGAGAAGGGCAGGATCTGAGCCCTGAAGACACACAGTACACGTGCAACTGTTCTGTTACTCTATTTTGCACCATCAAATGTTCATAAGGACCAAGGACACAGAACAGAAGACACAGCGACACAGTTACAGCATGCCATCAGCTGCCAGCAATGACGTCAGCTCACCCACCTGCGAGTAGCCCTGCAAAGCACAGTGTCTGGAATAAATATGAGCTGGAGAAAAAGTTTTCCACCAAGGTTTACACAAACTCCTCAACTGAAAAAAAGTTAAAACCAGAACTTTCTGCCTATAAAACGTTCTCTTTGTAGTTGGATGATGTTAAATGAATCTAAAGCTCAGGTTCTTCGGAGAAGGCTTGCTATTTCACCATTCTGCAAAAAACGACTGTGCTCTAGTTTCTACCGAATCTGAGCTACAGGTAAACACACGGCCCACTGTTATTCGCCAGTATAGACCAGTTTGATTTGTAATAGTTTAAACCACCTCAGATGACGTGTAAACCACAGAAAAGGGACAGCACAGCATGGTGGTACCCACTATCCTGTCTTCGCTTTTTTTTTTTAATATACACTTAAGTTTTTCACATGGTTCATAAAACCGAGAGGCTGTTGACTCAGTCTTCTGTTTAACAGGCAGTTTTATCTATCATTATTTTTTAGTTTTTATTATTTTGGGGGGGAAGGCAACTAGATTTATTCATTTATGTATTTAAGGGAGGTAGTGGGGATTGAACCCAGGACTCCGAGCACGTGCTCTACCACTGAGCTATACCCTTCCCGCCTCATTATTTCTTTTTAAATTTTCTGCTTTAAAAAGCATTTTAAGTCCAATGAGGAAAACCTGGAAGTCTCCACAGCGGCCTCTGAGGAGCAGCTCCCCGTCGCTCGCAGCCGCCCCGCCCTGTGGACAGTGCCAGCGCAGGGCCGCGGGTCCACAGGGCCCACAGTGGGGCCGTGGGCACCACTCGCCCCTCCAGGCCCTCCAGCTCCGCAGCTCTCGCCCGGACCCCCTCCTGTTCACAGCTTGGCCTACGGCTCCGGGAGCAGAGGGAGCCGAGCGACCTTCTTCACTTCCATCCTGCGAGCGGCGCTCCCAGGAACCAGCACTAACCCCAGGGCAGGGCTTGTGGGACCGGCGACTGAGGCACCGGCGGGAGGAAGGGACCTTCTGCAAAACTATTCACAGCAGGCAAAGCCGGCAACGCGCCTTCCGTCTCGGAGCGCGGGTCCCCGCTCCTAACAGGTTTCCCAAGAGCGAACTCGTAACGCAGCGAACGGACGCCGGCAGG